TTATAGCTTTTCCGCTGTTCCCGGCGAACCGCTCTGGAGGACCTTTGTGCAAAAAGCACTGGATCGGATTCTGGCCAACGAGGCCTGGTGATGAACATGGCCAGTTCGAAAGTTCGTTGATTTATCCATGAAAAATGGTGATTTTCTAGGGTTTAAACAGCAAAGAATTGTGATTTTCTAGGGTTTAACCAACAAAAATGGTGATTTTCTAGGGTTTAACCAACAACAAAAATGTGATTTTCTAGGGTTTAACCAACAAACATAATGATTTCATGGTGATTGAACCAGCAAAACTGGTGATTTTCTATAATTTTTTGTATGTTTTATGTTTACCAGAGGGTATGGATTGTGGAAACCAACTATAAACCAAAGAAGTGCTTGTAGCACATCAATTTCAATTTACTGGGGTGGAGAGTTGCTTTTGTCTAGAGAGAAACCATTGATCAACTATTCTGGAGATGCATGAAGTTGATACATAGTCAGCAACTATGATATGAGGGCCCAAGCATGATTGGCATATATTATGGGAGATAAACAAGTGCATCGATTGTTCATTACTCTTGTGGATCAATTTTGCGCACAGGGCGAATTTAGTGTAGCCATCAAGAACAAAACCCGTTGATATGGTTAGCAAGAGTATAAAACACATGATTCTATCCGATTCTATCTGCAAAATATCCCCCAATCCTCATTAAATCAGCATTTTCCCATGCTTTGGTACTGACCGCGATGTGCCGGACCTTGAGTTCCTCCTGACTCTGAACGCCTTTAGTGCGCGAGAACTCCGCGGTGATTCCTACCTCAAGACTGATCACATTGATCTCTGTCTTCGCATAGCCCGCAAGATGCGTGCTGAGAAACTGACACCCGGCATCCAGCGGGTCAATCAGAACCGCGCTTCCTGGACCTTCAAGACTTCGCAAGTTTCCACCCACCCACGCTTGAGGGCCACCCTGGAGTCTGCTGGGCCCTTGAGGGCTTGTGGGGTGCATGGGGCTGCTTTGTATCGTATCATGGCTCTTGGGCTGAGCCTCGAGAGCTTTGCCATAGGTGATCAGCACAACCTTTCAGGCAAAACAGGAGATGAGCAAAAGAAGGAGGCGAGGAATTGATGTCTGAATTGGCACACCGCTGCACACCATGGCACACCATGATCTCAGCTTCCAGGAACTTCTTGTGGTTTCATCACCAGCATTATAGGATGGTGCCCCCCAGTTATAAGTTGGTTTATAAATCCATTAACTATAGTTATATCTGCCATAAACCATAGTTATGGGGCACCACCTTGTATCATCCGCTTCATTTGTTTACTCGGTTTTGGCTGCCCAAACCCTACGCCCCCGCAGGGACTTCCCCCCAGCACTGCGAAGACCGCAGTGCTGGGTGCGGAGTGTGGGGGCGACCTGCGACAGGTGCCACTAGTGGTGATGACGGTGTGTGTGTGTGTTGTTTTTTTTGGCAGGGTATATGGGGTATAATGTGGGTAGAACAATCATAAAGCAACCATATTTGGATGGTTTATACCACATATATATATACAGTATATATATATATACAGTATATATATATATTATGATATGGTGAAATTGGGGATGGTTTATTAGTTACTGTTTTATCCACATGAAACCAGATAATATCAGAAAAAATAGAAACAAATATGTAAACACATGTAAACATCAACAATGGGATACATCATGATATATCTATAGTTACTTGGTGGCTCATCCCACTTAGTAAGTGGGTTATAACCCCAGTTATAAATGGGATTTAAGTAGGGTTAATCCACTCAAAAAACTGGGGTTATAACCCACTTACGAGCCGTGGGATGAGCCACCAAGTAGATAACTTACCAGAGAAGTTTATGGCATATAGGTTGCTGTGATGGGATATGACTGCGATGATTTTAATCGGGAGATATGCATTTTCCTTGTAGTAGTACTACTGTATGCATCTATGATATGGATGCGACATAAGTAGCGCATAGCAATACCTACACACATTTTCCACATGTACTATGCATATGTAAAGGAATTCTTCCAGGATTGACAGCAATAAAGACTCTTTGGTTGCAACTGACTTTGCTCGTAAGAGTTGGCACAAGGTAAGGGCAGCTCCAACTTACCCTTTCTCCAAAAATATGTTCTTCCTGCATATTTCATAGTAATTTGCTATGCCACTGCATATCTAATCCAAGTACCCTGTTACCATAAGTGCTTGGCTGTGCTTTTATAATCTTTTATGACAGGATGAGTACCACCTAAAAAGAGGTAAGACTGTTTATAAAACTTGACAGAAAGCAGCTATGACACAACACATTGGACTAGGAAGTAACAGCTCCCAGATTGCATTCATATGGAAAGGGGTCCCTTCTCAATCCTTTTGACCAATACTCACTCTTGTTCTTAATTCTTTGATCTATAAACTGTATGAAAAGTTTCAGGGGTTGTTTGTGCCAGTATGCAAGCGCATTGTCACAAGTGTGCAGTATCAGTATATATATATATGCTATGAAGCCGTGGCAGCTTTTTGAGTGGACGATCCAGGACATCCCTGCCTTCAAGGCCTATATCCAGGGTGTCCTGCAGACTCATCCGATGGGCCCAGCAGAGCCGTGGGGAATTTGCGTGTATTCGGACGAAGTGTTGCCCGGCAACGCTTTGAAGGCTCGCAATGAGCGCAAGACCATTGCTTTCTACTGGTCCTTCAAGCAGTTTGGCCGCGGGCTGTCTTCAGAAGATCTGTGGTTTCACGCTTGCTCCATCCGAGCAAGCTGCGTCCGGGATTTCGCATCTGACGGGTGGAGCCAGCTCTTCACTCAGGTGGCTGGCTTGTTTTTCAGGGCACCTCAAGATGCAAGTGCTGGTGTGCACCTTGAGTTGGGAGAAGGGCTGCCTTCTGGTTCGCAAAGCTCGACCTGGACATTGGCGATGGTGCTGCGCTTGCATCTTGTTGGTCGCTGAAAGGCGCATCTGGGACGAAACCATGCTTTACTGCGAGAACGTGTTCCTTCGAACATACACTGATTTCTAGAGGGTATTTTGTGATAAAGGCAATATTTTTTTTGCAGATACCATAGCCATTTGCTGTGTCAACACATCCAAGCTGCATTTGCACTTAGAATGCAAATATTTTATATATACATTTTTCTTATATAGTACATACAGTTATGGAATGGGTGGCATATAAGTCACCTATACCCTTAAAGACACAAGTTTTCTACATTTTTCCTGCATATGCAATGGTATTCTTCCAGGTTTCAATGCAGTAAAAGATCTTTGTTTTAAACATCGATTGATCACAAGAGTTGGCAAATTCCAGGGGCACTTCCATTTCCCCATTGCTTCAGAAAAGGCGTTTTTACCTGCATATTCCATGGTAATTGGCTGTGTCACTGCAAATATAATGGCAGACATTTTATTACCATAAATGTATTCATGGCTGTGGGCAAAACTTAAACTGTGTCAGTATAAGTTCATCATGGTAACCAGAAGGGCGCAAGACCAAGTAAAGGAAACACTTAAGCAACCTTATCAAACAACTGGATCTATATAATGGCTGCCTTGCTTGTGCATTGATGCAGCAAGTTTCCATGAAGTATGCAAAAAAATGCAACTACTCTTGAGGAGGGAGAGTAGATTGGAATTTGCACTTTCATTTACTAAAAGAGTTCCACTGGAACTATGATGTCAACCACAAGGCGACCTGGCAATCCAATATCAAAATGCAAATACAAAGTGCTATGTATATGTATATATATACTGTCTTTGCAATAGCTGTATACCTAGGTAGTACCTATACATTAATATATACATGAAGTACCAACTGACACAGTGAATCTCTATGTTTCAAGATGTTGTTGGGCAAAGAACTTTGCCATTCATGCACTAAGACCACCTATCGGAAAACAATAGAGCTACAAAAAGCAAGCAACCAAGAATAGAGCTAAGGATTAACAAACCAAAAACAGTGCATCTCCCAGGAACTTTGATTTCTCATCGAAGGAAGTTTAGAAGTCAAACTTCCGACAATATGGAGAGATGAAAAAGCAGTCAGCAGGGAGAAGAGTCAGAAGAGAAAAAAATCAGAAGAAAGAAGATGCAGGTGCGCGAAAAGGTAGGAAAGTCGCGAAACATTGTGTTTTTTTCGTGGTTTTGTGGCTCCGGAGGGTCGAAAAGTAGGCTCGCTAAAGCGGCGGGTGCGGAGACATGAAAAGTTGCACGCTGTTGTGGCGCGAAGCCGATTTCGAAGTGAAAAGGTACAAAACACCTCAGCGCCGGACCACTTTTGGAAGTTGAGATGTTGGAAAAGTGCATGGCGTGGTGGCGCGAAGCACATTTGGAAGTAAAATGTGTTAAAAACTGGCGGTCTCGGAGCACTTTTGGAAGTTGAGATGTCGAAAAAGTGCACGGCGTTGTGGCGCGAAGCACATTTGGAAGTAACAAGTGTTAAAAACTGGCGGTCTCGGAGCACTTTTGGAAGTTGAGATGTCGAAAAAGTGCACGGCGTTGTGGCGCGAAGCACATTTCGAAGTCAAAAGTGTTAAAAACTGAGGGTATCGGAGACATTTTGGACGTTCAGACGTCGTTTTGTGTGGCAGGTGGAGTGGATGGTGCATCCACTGAAAAGTGACTAAAACGTGAGGGTTTTGTAGCATTTTCAAAAACGATGGCAGGCGTGGGAGATTTGAAGAGGATCTGCACAGATGCATTTTTCGTGGCAGGCGCAGTACAAGAGGCATCTTCAGCAGAGACGTTCGGAGCTCAAGGAGCTGATTTCCTGAGAGGGATTGCATTTTGGCGTACCAAATCATCAGCTATGCCAAGATGCTTTTTCGTGACAGGTGCAGCATTTCGTATGACCTGGACTAACTTTTTCGTGGCAGGCGCAGTACTTTTAGAGACATGGCATGGAATGAATCTATAGAGAAACAGAACGAAGAACATGGTGATGGATAGCTGTGGACATGGATCGATGAAGAGATGGACGGAAAAAAAAAACTAACAGAGAGAAGTAAGTGGATGGATGAATGGCTGGATAGACAGAAAGATAGACAGTTTAATAGATAGGTGAATAAACAAATCGATCGATAGATACATGAATAGACAGGTAGATAGGTAGATGGCTAGAAAGGTAGCTCTGTAGATAGATGGCGAAAGAGAGACACAGAGAGAAAGAGAGGAAGAGAGACAGAAAGGGAGAAACACTCAACCACCTTTCAATCCATCAGTGGGTTCGCTCTGCCATTTTTGCGTCACACCAACTCACCTCTCCTATAGGTTTTCCATTTTTGAAACTTCCGCCACCGCCTTGTGCGGTACTACTGGTATATGATCAAAAGAGGAAAAAAACCAAAAATAGTCAAACAAAACGCTTAAAACCACGTAATTTTGGGGAACTGGTGGCGTACCACTCTCTCTCTCTCTCTATATATATATATATACATATTAGTGACAGTAGAAACAAATATATATATATATATATGATATGAATTGATATGATATACAAGTTGGCTAAAACAAACAATTTTCTGTGTGGAATTCTATATGTGTATTTTGATATGTTTATATGTGTATATATATATATTCTTATCTTTTTATTACTATTATACTATTGTTATATATATATATAAATATTTATAACCACCATAAACACAAACGTTAAGCAACCGCAACACTGCTGTATCTATCTCCTAGTGGACCGTATATCCGGAAAACTTCCATTTCAATTTACTGTGTTTGGCGCTTACCCCATCACAACTACTATGTCATGGATTTTTCACCATTCAAAGTTCTCACACATTCATTCATTTACATGTGTTTTGGGTTAACAAGATAATTTCTTCAATATGTTTTCGTGGAATTCCAAACGATTTTTGTCATGGAATTCCCTCCATTCAGAGTTGTTTTACATTCACTTCTAGTACGGTTCTTTCACCGAAAATCTCATTTTTGGAGGATTACACAATTAATCATGTTTATTCATGGCTATATCCATGGGATTATAGCACATTCTAACCTCCATAAGTTGATGGTTGGTTGCTGGTTTCCCCAGTTTTTTTTGATCAACGGCCAGGCCATCAATGCATTGCAGCTGCTGTTGGGCGGTTCGATGCGGCTAAACGGAGGCGCTTGGGTTTGTCATCGGAGACCGGGGGCTGGAACGATTGGTGAAAGGATTCGGGGAATCATCCCAAAATGGCCCAACATCTCAGGTTAGTGAAATATTGTCATTTGCTTATAGAACATGTAGAGAGATATGAATCTTGATTGCAGTTATGGCCCAACTAACAGCTATAAATGGAAGTATCATTCCTATGACTAAGGTGAAAGATACCATGAAAGAATCCCAAGAAAAACTGTTCAGGGCCATAACTGGGGGAGGGTTCAGAAATTTGCGCAGATGGGGTGCAGTGACCCCAAGAATGGGTCAAACATGGCTTAACTACAAACGGAGTATAATCAACCATGAGATTTTGGGGTATTTCAGAGAAACCCAAACTATTGAACCATATTGAACCTTAAAATAAACTTGGATGGTTTCAGATAAGAAGGACCAGCATTTGGGGGTCCATTGGTTTTCCATGTTTGGGATGTTGGAACAAAGACATGTCCACGACTCCACTTTACGCGTATTTGGGAAGTCTACTGGACTTGGCTGGGCCTTTTTGGCTGGATCCCATCAAATAAAAGGCTGAAAACTGCTTTTTCATCGTCCCAGCAATTCTAGGACTCAATAGGGCTATGAATTAACTGGATTGTTGCCCAGTTATGATGTGTAAATCCCATCGTAAATCCAGTTTGATATATCTACCATTATCCATAGATCTGGGTAAATTTCATCACGACCTCACGTCGCGACCTCACTATAATCATAGTTAGTAAGGGGAATCATCCCCAAATGGCCGAACTATTCAGGTCAGTGAAATATTGTAATTTACCCAGATAGATCCCATCGTGAGCCGCCCGTGACCAACTAAGCGAACTAGTACGCCAGGAGCTCCTCCACGACCGGTGAATGGCCGTAGTACGCGAGGTGGTCCGCGCCAGAGGATCCCAAAAAATCAATTTGAAGGGATTCAACGAGATTTAATCAACCATTATATGGACTATATACAATTATATATATATATATATACATAGATGGATAGATAGATAGATAGATAGATAGATCGATAGTTAAATAGATAGGTAGGTAGATACATTAGATAGATTAGATAGATTAGATGAATTAGATAGATAAGATAGATAAGCTTAAGATGGATAAGATAGGTAAGATACATACGATAGATAAGATAGATAAGATAGATAAGATAGATAAGATAAATAAGATAGATAAGATAGATAAGATAGATAAGATAGATAAAATAGATAAGATAGGTAGATAGATGGATCGATTTTGTTTTATTTGATGATATATAGAGAGATAAATTGTAATATGGTGACAACATGGCTGGCTGGGAAGTCCTCTATAAATGCGCTTCTGTAGATGGTAAAATGTGGATCGCCAGAAGATATCTCACGGATCCAAGGCCCTTCTTCAGGAAGTGCTTGGATCCATAGGGAATAACATGAGGTACGGTTTCTGGCTATTTGTTTGGGACTATATACTGTATATATTATATGTGCTGTATTTATCTGACATTAGTGGCATACATACCATATACATGCTCTTGACATATACAGTGTAATATACAAACGTATAGTTTGAGAGAAGAGGAAGAGAGATACATTGACAATGTCGAGTTTATTTTTGCCTGCATCACCATGTTTGTTTGTTTATTTTGTTTTGCGTCGTTTGTATTTGCATTTGGGCACAAGATTTATTACGATACATCACATCAGATCACCTAGTCACATCAGATCACTTGCTAGATGTCAGCACAGAAAGACATAAAGATATGTGAGAGGGATTATGTATATACTGGTATACATGCATATACTAGTTGGTATAATGTATAATCACAACACACATATAGATTCATAGATATGTGAGAGCCATCACATGACATTAACACATGATATGTATTGATATGTAGTATGTGTACATCTACAATTCAAACTGCAATTGCCTAAGTGCATTTTCCACTGGTAGCGGTCCCAACTGGCATCCGGCTGCAGGGAAGAAGGCGACGCAGGAGCAGGGCCAGGCCGGGTGACTAGAAGTGCCCAAGAATTTGTGGGTTAGACCAACCAAGACCAAAATGCTGGGGTTTTGTTCATGACTTGTTCATAGACAGTAGTGTTGAATTTAATGGGAAATTATGGGATTGATTTACCCACATGAAAAAATATGTTCATAGTGATGAACATCATGGGATGCTCATGGGAAAAGATGTTCTAATATGTTCTAATCAATATGCTCCAATTGATTTGTTTATAAAGCTCTTAGTTTCCATCGGATTGCAATTCGGTACCATGTGGAATCCCCAAGAGTGCCATATTGAGCATCCAGGCTCGGGGACCCCGAAATCATCCAAAAATTGCCCTAATTACACTCAAACACCGGTATGTATATGTATATATACTTAATATGAATATGTGATGTATACTGTATACACATAATATATATATATACATACATATATATGTATTCAATATGTATATTATATCATATCATATCAGGCCCATGATTTTTTTAATGTTGATTTGGTGTGATGTAACATTTCGTAGATAATTTCAGACTCAAAACAAAAACTCATGGGGCTTCATGTGGATTCAGCAGGCTACAAGTTCTGGAAAAAGTCAAGATATTCTGAGCTCACAAAAATACCCTCTGGTAATTTAACATAGCTATTGAAATGGCCCATTTCTAGTTGATTTTCCTATTGAAGATGGTGATTTTCCATAGCTATGTTAGTTTACCAGAGGGTAGATGTTGTCATATGTGTTTTGTATTTATTTGTTATACCAAACCTTTAATTATATAGTTGTCCATCACCCTTGGATCTGATCCTATATAAAGGGTGGGGTTGACCCCAACTATAATATAGAAAAATACCCCCTTCCTTTCTAGTCGAATTGATTTGTGGTGCGTTTTTCAATAGTTTGATTGGGGATACTATGGGATATTCCAGCATGGTAATTTGAATCGAACATGGTGATTTTTAGCTTAGGATTTTGGCGTTAGTGCTGAGACGTCTGGGTAGCCATATGGTTGTATCTGAAAATGAAGTATCCTCTGGTAAACTGACATAGCTATTGAAAATGGCCATTTATAGTGGATTTACCCATTAAAAATGGTGATTTTCCATAGTTACGTTAGTTTACCAGAGGGTATCCTTCAGCATGGCCACTATAAATAGAATAAAGCCTCCTCCCATGGTGACGGTGCAGCTTCAACATTGGATCCATAATATTTGTATACATATTGATTATATATATATTAGTTGATCTTGCGTATGGAGTATTAACAAGTGCTCATTGTTGGATGATTTGATGATAAGGCTTATGTCAGATCTTGCATTTTATAGTACTGTAACTCTACTGTAACCCAACGTTACATAACCAAAAACAGATTTATATTCTCTCGTGGGAAAATTCCCTATGTCAAACAGGTACCATCTCCCAACCTGGCAGGCCTTGGATGGTACGGATGGATTGAAGTCTGCATCCCTGGGTTTGTTTCATGCCCTGGGCCGTTTCCTGTACTGCAAGCGCTTGCGACCAGGCACGGCGCTGGTACAGCTTGGGTAGGGCTAGATGGCAGCTGTATGCTTGTCAAAAAAGAAGAGGTACCCTTGGTGAACCCCACCCAATTACTTTACTTCGTGTGATCCCCACCATGACATTTATACATTTTGTTACTGGCAAATCTTCTGGCATTCTATCTGACATATTTTCTGGCATTCGATCTGGCATTCTATCTGGCATATCTTCTGGCATTCTACCTGGCATTCTACCTGGCATATCTTCTGGCAGATGTTCTGGCATATCTTCTGGCAGATGTTCTGGCATATCTTCTGGCATATCTTCTGGCATATGTTCTGGCATATCCTCTGGCATTCCATCTGGCATTCTATCTGGCATATCTTCTGGCATATTATCTGGCAAATCTTCTGGCATTCCATCTGGCATTCTATCTAGCATATCTTCTGGCATATTATCTGGCAAATCTGCTGGCATTCTATCTGGCAAACATTCTGGCACTTATCTGGCATATCTTCTGGCATTCTAGCTGACATTCTATCTGGCATTCTATCTGGCATACCTTCTGGCATTCTATCTGGCATATCTTCTAACATTCTATCTGGCATATCTTCTAACATTCTATCTGGCATATCTTCTGGCACTCTATGTGGCATATCTTTTGGCGTGGATACTCGCGGTTGAGGTCCGGCAGGGAACACTGGGCGTGGATGGTCGTGGTTGAGGTCCGGCAGGAAACACTGGGCGGGGATACTCGCGGTTGAGGTCCGGCAGGGAACACTTGGCATGGATCCTCGCGGTTGAGGTCCGGCAGGGAACACTGGGCGGGGATGGTCGTGGTTGAGGTCCGGCAGGGAACACTGGGCGGTGATGGTCGTGGTTGAGGTCCGGCAGGGCACACTGGGCGTGGATGGTCGTGGTTGAGGTCCGGCAGGGAGCAGGAGGAGAGGAGACGAGGAGAGGAGAGGAGAAGAGAGGAGAGGAGGAGGAGAAGGAGGAGGACGAGGAGGAGGAGGACGAGGACGAGGAGGAAGCAACTGACATAAAATCTAACAACCCTCACCTGGCAGGTGGGGAAAAATCGATTGTAAGTAGTTTACCCTCTGGTAATTTAACATAGCTATGGAAAATCACCATTTTTAATGGGAAAATCCACTATAAATCACCATTTTCCATGGCTATGTTAGTCATTACCAAAGGGTATCTGAAAAAATGGTACCCGCAATTCCAATGGATTCTAATCATTGGTCACTTTATCCAATCGACCCATTTTACCCATTTTGGATGTTGCCGAAGTTTTTTTTCGGTGTATAAGTTTTGATCCATCCCTGAAGGGTTTCTCGTGAAGAAAGATCGTTTTTTCCAGTAACACTAATGATGAGGGAAGCAACACACATTTCAACCTTGGGCAACACATTGGCGATAAACTAAAACATAGTTTTTTTTTGCGGCAAGCAAAAAAGTGATGATATAGCCAGTTGCTTGCTGGATTTTGAAAATGTGTCAAGTGATGTGTGGACTGTGAAGCTACCCTTCTTTAAGTCAAGTGGTCCACATTGCCGATCTAGTCACCAGGTTTCTTCAAGCAGCCAAGCAGCTGTATCTATCCAGTTGGAGAGGGTGGAACCCACATTTCAACCTACGACCTACGACTCAGCCTCTGGTATTTGGAGTACCCTCTGGTTATGACTAACATAGCCATGGTATAGATGGTCCATAGAAATAAATGGTTTACCGAACTTAATAGCATGGTGATTTTCCATGGCAAACTGTAACAAATAACCATATGATCATATTGGTAATTTAATCTACAGATATTTTTACCATGTTTTCCCAATGAAACCTTTATTAACATATGTAAATTAAGTAACCATAGCTGGGAAATCCACACTCAATGAAACCGTTGAAAAAACCTCTATTGAGTGTGGATTTCCCAGCTTTGCCGCGTGATCCAAAGGTCATTCCCAGATTTTTCAGGTTCAACGACGACTGAGACTCAGACTGTCAATGGCCGGGTGCCCCTTTGTGGGGTGTCACCGTGAAGTTGGATTCGTGGAAGGATCTATAAAAGGAATATCGTATCTACCCTCTGGTAATTTAACATAGCTATTGAAAATGACCATTTATAGTTGATTGTCCCATTAAAAATTGTGATTTTCCATAGCTATGTTAGTTTACCAGAGGGTATCAACCTGATGAACATGTATACAAAATTATTAGGTACATGCATATTATCTAATGTATTTATATGCTTATTATTATTATGTTTGAAATGGTCCAGTATTATTAGGCCACTGCTACAGCAATCATTTCGATTACACAGATATTTTTTGGTTTGAACATGGTCGGTTTGTTCATTGGCCGATTGGACGTGTGGACCGATGATTTCCAATCTAGACCAATATGCTACCAATATGCAACTACAATGGACAGGTTTTTTTAAGGCGCGTAGAGTTGAGGAGCAACACATTCTAACTAGCTGCTAGCTTTTCGTTGTCTGTTTGCTTTTGGGTTTTACATCTACATGCGGTCAGTTTTGTTGCAGAATGCAGAATATTTGAAGGGAAATGTGGCTGACCCTTTCCATTATCATGGTTGAGATGTCCGAAATCAAGTTTGGCTCAACAACTATGTTTTTTTAAAGATTTGAATAGATTTGAGGTACCAAGGGATATATATATATATATAGTTATATATATATTATGTTTTAATTAAATATAAGTTAATGAATCAATTTTCCACAGAATCGGCATAGCTATCGTAATTTTGTTCTTTTTGCGACTTAACTGACCTTGACATTATTTTCAATTTTTGTAGGTTCATCATATCTCGCCATGATTGTAGGCTTATCATGGAATTCCAAGAGCATCTTGGCTCAAGTCATTTTTGGTCTTTGCGACTTGCATCTTCCAATCATTGGCACTCTTCCCGCAACACGGTGCCAACAGGGTACTATGCTGAAGCCAATGGCAAGTCGTTGGGGGAAAACTATCCCCCGTTTTAGTGTTGCAAATGCTACGCCAGGGAAGGTCATGGAAGCCTTACGCGTGCAAGGTGACTGGCGGTGCAGCATCCACATTTTAGGTTTGTTGTGGCAAGTCAAATCTCAATGTTTTAAGCATGTTCAAACCATCATTTAAACCAAAGTTGATGTTGGTTCGGTCACTCTCCCTGGGTATTCCCTGGGTAAGGGGTCATGCATTTCTCCCTGTTCGGTTGTGTTTAACATCGCGTTGGAAGTTAAACACTATATTATATCCAGGTCCATAAATGTAAATCAAACCGGGCAAATCATGGCAACCTCACCATCTGGTTGGTGGTTTGGAACATTATTTTTTTTTCCACAATACATGGAATAGTAATCTGAACTGACGAACTCACATTTTTCAGAGGGGTAGGTATACCACCAACCAGCCACATGTTTTTTTCCAAGCCATGGCCGCAATGTAAAGGGAATGATCCCACGGCATGGCTTTGTTTTCACGAATGTTTCGACATGGATGCCACGCCCTTCATTCCGATAGATCCATATGTGTTTTCGAAATATCAATCTGCAACAAATCCAACATGAATCATTATATATATATAGAATTCAGAATCTAAGGATCAATCCACTAATGTATTAGTTTAGATTAAGTTACACACTACATATATAATTAGTATGTATTTCCATATATATATATGATACAATTCAGACTTGAGATCAATGTATACGCTATCCAACATTGATTTATATCCAGTCTTTCCGCGCCATTCCAAGCGCAGGTTGCGCCATCATCGAGCGCCTGATTCCGGAGCCGCGCGTGACACAGATCAGCGCTGAACTCGAACCACACGTCGCCTCAAGGTGACGTTGATCCCAAAGAATGATGGCTATAGCGGTGATTAGTGGTTAATAATGGTTAATCATGGGATAATCTATATTAATAGTGGTTAATAGTGGTTAGTAGTGGTTAATAATGATAATCAATGATCAATATACTGGCTGGTGGTTTCAAACATTTGTTATTTTCCATAGAATATGGGATAATTCTTCCCATTGACTATTTTTTTCAAGATGGTTATTGCACCACCAACCAGACAGATTATAACATGTTATAACCATCAGACATGGATAGAAAATGATAGACATATGATAGATTTATGGTGTTTTAGCATATTAAACCTATCGGTATAGCAATTATAACCATGGGAAATGGATAGACATGCTGCTGGTTTTAGCATATCAACACTGGGGGTTCAACATTTTACTAGGAAAGTTGGGACTACTGATGGTTTGTCGAGGGCGGATATTCACCAGCAACAACCACATAGTTTTTTAGGCGAATGTTAAGCGACGAGGTGGTGTCAGTGAACTGTTGTGGGGTCACCAGTGAAAAGCCACCAGTCACTGGGATTCTCCAAGTAGGGCAAAGTGAGACTTTAAGACGAAAAGTCACATGGTGGAGTTGGAAAAACATGGTGGATTTACCCTCTGGTAAACACACAAAGCTATTGAACATGGCCACTTATAGTTGATTTACCAATTAAACATGGTGATTTTCCATAGCTATGTTAAATTACCAGAGGGTATCAAAGTTCAAAGTTCCAAGCATGGTGGATTTGGAAAAAGACAGATCAGAACCTCAGCATGGTGGGAAGCAAGAGCAGAACCGCACAAAAGGCAGCACATGGCAATGGAAACCCTCAGGTAATCGTTCACTATTTACTTGTGTGAGAGCACTTCCAATTGCAACGTTACATTGCTTATATAACCGTATTTGCTCTCATGTCTTTTTGGAACAACCATAGTCAGAAAGCCTCCATAGTGTAGTTACTATACTTTTTGGTAATGTTAGTAAAGCAATAATAAACCAATCATATTTTGATGTTTTCTAAAGTTTATACCAACCATTTATGATAATGTGGGGACGGTTTTCTATTGCTTTAGAAGATATTACTATCATTCGAAGTTGAAGGATTAAGATCACACGTTTCTGTACTCATGACCATCAATGTCCCTGTGGAACTGCGCAACATTACAGAACATCAGTGAGGTTTTTGAGGGA